CGTTATGAACTGCGCAATCACGTTCATAATTCGTCTGAAAGCGCTATGCCTCACAAGGGAAGGATGATAGGTCGAAGTGGCCATTTGAAATGAAATGTATACCGGCTGAAAGGTCTTCGGACGGGAATTACGAAACCGTCTTCCATATCTGCTGCGGACCTCCCAGAAAGAAGTTACGGAGCTTTTTTGGGGGAGAATCACTACAAATTGGCGGGCGTAAGGCTATCGAGATCGTGGCAGCATGGCCGAGTGGATACGTCGTAGGGCTCACGGATGCGGGGTCGAGGGTTTGAATCCTTGATGCGTGTGCTCTTTTGCATTTTTTCGAAAGTGGCCCCTGTGCACTTCAAAGCCATTTTGCATAACACTTGTCCATGATAACGTCGTGATGTAATGATTCTGAACTGATGGAGCCATTTCGAACCATGCAAGTAGAAATCACTTCTGGCTGTTGTCTTCCTCTTTCTTTGATTTGAAGAGCATATACAACAAAAGTGCACTCCAAAGAAAGATTTTGCCTTCAAATGAATTTATTCTCCATGGACGCGAAAACGATCCGAAGTTGTGCAGGAAGATGATTATAGTGGGGAAAATGCTTCCATATGAAGTGGCGTTGATGTGGCAATCATGCTGGAGATCGCGATGGGCAAGAGCTTCATTCACCAGTGGCATAATGTTGAATTATGTCTATCTCAAAGAGTTTTCGTATCTGCTGGAAGTTTTCGGCTCGTATGACAATCTTTTCAGCCGGAGGTGATCTCCATGAAATCGTTCGCAATGGCTCCATCAGTTCAGAATCATTACATCACGACATTATCATGGACAAGTGTTATGCAAAATAGCTTTGAAGGGACACTTTCGAAAAAATGCAAAAGAGCACACGCATCAAGGATCCAAACCCTCGACCACGCACCCGTGAGCCCTACGACGTATCCACTCGGCCATGCTGCCACGATCTCGGTAGCCTTACGCCGCCAATTTGTAGTGATTCCCCCAAAAAAGCTCCGTAACTTCTTTCTGGGAGGTCCGCAGCAGATATGGAAGACGGTTTCGTAATTCCCGTCCGAAGACCTTTCAGCCGGTATACATTTCATTTCAAATGGCCACTTCGACCTACCATCCTTCCCTTGTCAGTGTTCTTCCATATTTCTGACCGCTTTTTTTCGTCGCCTATGAAACTGTTAATAAGAACGGATCAGGAGCGCCCAGTTGAGAACTTTCATACTCCCCTTACGCTCCGGTGAAACCTTTTCGAAGTTTCAACCATTGATTCGGCTGAAGACTCGACATAGGTTATTCTGACCTGCCTGAACACGGCTACATACTCGTTTTACATAAACACGGCGGGCGTCCATGCTACAGGCGCCCTGGTGACAAGTCCTCAGCAAGTTTGAGGGTCTTGCCTGCTCCCTCACCTGTGAGATGCAGGTAACACATTTGGCTTCCATAATTGCAAACATCATTCCAGACCATATCGACCGACATAGGTCTCTGTTCAAAACTTCCATGGTATGCTGGAGGACTTCCCTGGTTACAGCCTGTTTGTAATTTGCAAACATATTTTCTGCTGAAGCCAATGAAATTATGATAATTGTCTGATTAGGCCTATATGACAACAAAGGAAAGTAGACGAGAAAAACAAGTAGAGTGGATTTGGAAAGGGCGCAGATCGGCTTGGGGGGGGGGCATTCAGCTTTTTCGCTACTTTCTTTCGACGTGTCAAGCTATCAAGTAGAGATCAGTGGAATTGTGTGAAGCCATGGAGTGTTACCAGACAAAGTTCGTAGAAATTCCATGTCAACCCTCGTAAAAAAAATCTGCCAACCCTTAGAAAATAATGAGCACGACGACGGGAAGTGCAAAATCCCGCTTTCTCCTCCTAAAGCCGAACTGCGATTGGAAAAGCTACGTATCAAATAGTTAACTCAGCCTACTGAGCGTTTTGTGAGAAAATCCGAAGAATAAATTCACGAAAAAGCGTCGTATGAACTGCTATGCCAAAAATTCTACCCATATATTTATTTCATCCCATTTTCTCATATTCAATTCCCACTCGGACTGACCAAACGCATCATTTTTGAGCCGAGTCTAGCACACTTTATATCCAGCTTTGTTCCTAATATGGTACTTCACAGCGCTGCTAGAAAACCTTAGGGTTCACTGACATAATCGGCTAAATGGCTTTAACGTAAACGTGTGAGAGCAGATAAACTGAGATGAATATATCCCTGACAGCTAAAGGAAAACGCATGAATCTCGGCAGTGCGATGGAAAACAGCGGCAGTTGAGCAACAGATCAAATAATTCACAAAAGAAATAGAACAGATTCGCTGTAGCACCCCGTGCTCTGGTGAAATACAGCAGTCGAGGGTGCTTTCCACGACATCCGGATGGACGGGGACAGGGAGCTAGTATCTGTTGCCTTCCGTTTGGAGACAGTCTTCACGCTCAACCAAGTCGGAGCCCACCTTTCTTGTTCAAGTAGTTCGGTCCGCCATCTCTAAGATTGTCCTCTTTCGCGGTTTCACAGTAGGTAACCAAGGCGCTGCAGCCCTCCTAATTGGCAGTTTTGACACCTACAGCTCCGCTGTACCCCCACCGAAACTCAAAGCCCATTTTCGTCGCGAGTTCACTTTTTACAACGTGTTTTTCGTTTATTTCTGTTACATGGTAAAAGCACTGGATGAGCGGAGACGCATGAGCCAGAAGCGGTCGAATTCGGTTCTAGTGTTACAAAACGAGCAGGTCCGGGAAAACCGTACAGTAGTATGAGCTACAGGGTCCTTTACTTAGGGGGAGCTGTCTCTCCGTAATTTGGGTGTCTGTTTTTTCTTTTGTTTGTATGTGAGAGGCACCATATGATTGTAAGTTTACACGTCGCCTACTCCACATTATGCAATTGCGTGCTTATTTAAGGCTGGAGGAATTGGGGCGTCAGAGCCGAAATCCGGTAGCCTGTCTGCTCCCCCGACACCATAAATCAGTCTGTGAGAACCAGCATTTTAATTCGAAAAACGAAATACTTATCCTATAGGTTGCCTATCGACATTTCAAATGCCAAAAGTACAGAGGTAATAGCAGATTGCTCAATATCTTTACAGACTAACGATAGTGCATTTACATTTGAACACATTTTGCTACAGCATGATGTGTAAAGGAGGTTATAAACCCGTCATTAGACCTGTCCTCGCATTAATGAAATTTTTGTCTGATTGCCATCCCCAAAAATAGCGGCTGCCTTGAAAATTCTTTCACAACCTAACAGGATACCTGCTTATTCAACACTGTTCTAATTGAGGAAAAAGAAAATACAAGAGGAAACTGTTGAAACAGGACAAGTTTAAAAAGTCCTGGTGAACAGCAAATGCAGAAAAAGCAGAAAAAACGAGAAGAGCAGCAGTTCTGAAGCTCACCTAACAGGTCCATTTGAGATGCCATCGCAGAATAATGGGCCACAGTTCGTCCATGGAAATCACGGACTGTGATTGACGCACCAGCTTCTCGCAACACCGCCAGCATTCCCAAACTGCCCCCACAAGCCATAGAATGCAATAGCGGTGCGGTCAACCTAGTTTGTGCACGTGAAATGGACAAGTGTGTGAGAGATTCAGAAACCTTATGGTCAAAAACCTTACAACCACTACAAAAAGGTTAAAAGTATCCTATTAAAAGGTTGCAATCGAAATAATTTACAGGCACTCTGGTGACCATCCATGAGGTGGGCAGGCTCGGAGCTGAAGAAGCTATCGCCAGCAAAAACAGCGCAGAAATCAAGGTGAGTGGTTATGATAGCTAGATCTTCTTTAAAGGCACGTTCCGCGATAAAATAAGGCTATGACCTCTCAAATGTGTCGGACGATATATGAAGCGCTATTTTTAGGACCCTGCGCCTAACTTTCAAAATTGTGAAACGTAAAAAAGGACGCCCTGCAAGGAAAAAAACTCCGCTACTGTAAAGCTGACTAATTAGGCCCATGGACACCCCTTAGGCCCATGCCGACCCTCACCGGCTGCTAGCTACTAGCTAGTAGCCACTATGTTATCTTTCTCTATAACATTTCGGACTGCTTTTTCTGCTGCTTTTCTCCGCTAATCAGATACTTAGCACTTTTTTGTGCCTATTTGTTCCGTTTCCCGCAACTTTGCGCGTCGCAACTGTTGCCCTTTTAAGTCTATATCTGTCCGTATGCGCAAGAAACACACATCGGAACAAGTAACACACGATACGGCTCAAACCACAGTCTGGTATAAGTCAGGCTGTTTGCGGCTGCGGCAGCTTATGGAGTGTCTGAGGGTGCGTATTCATATCGAACGATGAGTGTAGACTGATAAAGACTCATCAGCCTTATCGGAATCCTTCAACCTTCATTTCCGCTCACACATGTGAATGGCGAAAGTACCACACTAGGACTGCAGACCTACCCACCTCGCATATGTGATGGAATTACCTCACATGTGAACGTAGTGTGTCTTTAAAAAGAAAAATAAAGCAAAACAATCAAATGAACTTGAGGTCAAAAGTCGCTCACTTACACAGCAGCCATGTTTATTCCAGCTTTTAAGAGGAGTTCAGCGACCTCTATGTGACCATGATATGCCGCATGATGTAAAGCTGTGCATCCACGAGAGTCGGCGCTATCTAAAACAAACAAAAGATGAACAGAGCTCAGAAGCTGGCCTGCCACGGATCGGCTTGGGGGGGGGGCATTTAGCACATCGCTAGTTCCTTTTGCTGACTCATGTTAACAAACAGGTCTTATTTTGGTGATATCTGAAAACTCTTGTGAAGCAGCTCAAGTGAACAATGGACTTTTTTGGTTACGAAAGTTCAAAGGTCCTCACAAATTGGCCTGTGCAGGTATTTCTGAATACCATTTGGTGCCCCACCAAGCCGAATTGCGCCCAAAAGCCCAGCGATAAGCTCAATGCCCGAGTGTCACTCACCTAACATAATATACCGATTGCGTAATAATAACGTCGCTACATTAGGCACATTGTGGATAGCGCATATATGAAGAGGTGTTTGAAGTAATTTACATTTGAGTGCAGTATCACAACCTGAAAAGAAACATTTTTTAGAGTAACACCCATTCGCTTTCAGCATGTTTGCTTTCTGCTTTGCCATACAAGTACTAAGATGGAACCGCGTTCATTGTGCTCGATTTTTCGACCGAGAAATCGAAATCGTCGTTTCCAAGACCAGAAAATGCCTGAAGTCCCCTATTTGAGATCTACTTTGAAGAGCTTCATCCTGCTGGACCGTTCGCGAGGAGTTCTCTCCTACCAAACCTGAGTGGCAGAGCAGTAAGTAAATAGTTTCTAGAAAATGTTCAGCTTTTAAAAAGACTAGAGAAGACCAGGGATGA